TGCTCACCCATGTTGGCCAGAAGGCATGAGACGGCCTGGATATCAGCTCCAGCAAACACTTCACTCAACTGACTGACCACCGGCAGACACAGAGTGTGCACTCGGATTCGACGTTTACCTGTCAATCATAAACACATACCAATCAGAGGAAATCTTACTCAGTTTGTGGGAGTGGTCTGATGTTGTAAACATGTCAAAAATGGGTTAGTATAAATGCGCAAAATGCTTGATTACCTTTACTGGATGTGTAAAGAAGAGCAGCCTGAAAACAAGCGAGCGAAGTATCGGCTAAACTCTCCTCGATTGACATCTGCACAGCAAAACCAGAGTCTGGGTTCACGTTGGCCAGAGACAGCAAATCAGTGGAGCGTACAAAGAAGTTGCCATGGAAAGTGTGGATGGACAAACCTGTTGACCAATCAGAGAAAGTGTCATTAAAAAGAGACATGAAATAACAGGGCCCTGCAGATACTGGTTCATGGAAGTGTCAATCAAAGCAATTGTGGCACAGAATTAGCTTGTGTAACTCCGCCCCCTCACCTTTGGTGCACCTGATCCTCATGACGGCTTCAAACCCGATCTTTCTGGTGAGGTATCGCTGCAAATCTTTCTGAAATTTTTGTCTCTGCGCCGTATTGTGAATGTGATGGAAGGACGGGTAATAAAAGACACTGCCGGCTGAGTATTTGGACACACAGGCTGCACAAGACGAAAAGAACATTTCTTGTTTCGCAACTTTGGGTCACATATCAAGAGCTGAGAAAGTTAAGTGTGTGTATGTGTACCTAAAGAAGCCAGGTCTGAGTACTGGGAGCTCAGTAAGAACAGATCCACTCCGATCTGCTGTCCAGAACAGTCCAGAGCCAGTTTCTTGTAAAAGTCTGTAGCAGGACCCAAGTGCTGGACGTTCTGAACACAAACAAGCAAACAAAAGACTCAAAATGCTGAAATATTAATTGAAACATAATTATCTGTACATTTTTTAAATCACAATAAATCATGTTATCTAAGATACTTTTGGTTAATTAATCAGAAACACATTTAACTGCCAAACAGGGTAATTACAAGTTTAAAATACTCAAGACGTATTATTGAAGATATACAAATGTGTACTAAAACTGGTTTATGTAGTAATATACCAATACATATGAATTGGAGGTTGGTATTGGATTTTGCTACAATAATAATATGGTTAAAAAAAAGGCAATAAAAAGATTATTGTGCCGATACTAGTTAAATCTATACATTAAGTGAGTTAATGTTTGTTTTTTGTTCACAGAGAGAAGCCACAAGTATTGACGTAGAATTAAATTCAAGATACAGTAACAAAAATACCGGTAACACTTTACAATAAGGTTCCATTAGTTAATGT